CGGCCCAGCACTTTGGAGCACCCACAAACAACTTTCAGAACTTTTATGCCTGAGACAGTCGAAGGAATAAAATGGTTGCCATATTGTTTTCCTGCTCATTTTGATCCGTGTGACTTCCTAATGACAAAAATAAAAAAAAAAAACAAACAAAAACAAGATAAGCAGCATTTTTCCTTCATCCTTAAAACCCCAAACAAAAAAAAAAAAAATTCCCTTCAATTTTTTTTTTCTTTTGTGCAGTAAGATAAACCCCAATGGCGAAGGGCATTCTTGTCTGAGTCTCTATGTTGTTCTTTGCAGCACGCGAGGTTGGCCGTACCGCAGATAAGAACAGCGCCACATGCCGCTCTGCCCAGCCGTTAAGCGTAGCGATAGCAATGAAGTCCCTGGGCAAGGAGAATTTGAATGTGAGGTTTGGAATTTGCCACCGCCCAGCCATGACACCCATCACACCCCATTGCAGAGCAGGGCTGGAACCACGGTGGTAGTAGAAGAGACAGAGAAAGCTTTAAAAGGGGGACCTCCTGCCCTCCCCAGGATCATTAGCAGCAGGTTGGGGGGGAGGGGGTTAAGGAGGACAGGAACATCTCAAAGAGAGCCTGAAGGTTCCAGAAATTTCACAAAACCAATGACAAATAAAAAAGGAAAAAATGCAAAAATAATGCATCTTCTGACAGATGGACTACACTACAGACACTAGAAACTGCTAGGATGGGGCTGGAAGAGGGGGAAGGGGACATGTCCAGAAGAAAAGAGGGGAGTTAGAAGTCCGTTTCTCTCTGTCTTTTCTTCTTGTTCGGCCACATGCGACGACTTGGGTTTGTTTTGAGCACAGACAGAAGAGGAGGCGGGAGAAAGCCACAGGTTTACAGACAAGAGAAACAGTTAAGAATCACAAAAAGGGAGGTAACACTTCATATCTGGAGGAGAGGGGTGGAGCTGCTCAGTACTGGATGGTGAGAGAGCGGCATCGCGCTAATTTTGACCTGTAGGATAGACAAACAGGAGTTAGGATTCTTTCTCACAATTTCTATTTATCTGAAAGAAAAAAAAAAGACTCCTAATTTGAAGTCTCAGGGCCCCACATTTTAGCATGGCTGTACCGCTGCTTAAAGTGTAAGGTCACCTTTATTTCAGAATAAATGAAAAGGTGAACTAGCACTTACACCCTCCCCCACCCCCCAGTCCCCGCCGTACTTACCTCCGTGGGTGATGAGCGGTCAATGCCCATGCAGCCGATGCTGCAGTCTGGGAATTTGAATTCCCCAATCATCCCCCTCTTCTTTCTGCAGGGCTTCCAGGATGGATCAGAGGGATTCTGATTGGTCAGCACCAAGACAGAGGATTGATCTGATCCACCCTGGAAGCCCTGCAGAAAGAAGGGAGATTTAAAATACCTGGACAGGGGCGGACTGACCATTTGGAAACTTGGGCACTGCCCGAGGGCCTGGGTCAGTAGGGGGCCCCATGAGATGCCCCTGGTACCTTTTTCATAGGCTTTTTTGAGTTTGGGCAAGGACACAGGGGCCCCATGATCCCCTTATTGCCCGGGGGCCCCATGAATTGTCAGTCCGCCCCTGTTCCTGGACTTCTACACCGGTTGCCTAGCACTAACAGCTCATCACTCAGCGAGGTAAGTAAAAAGAGAACTGGGGGGTAGGGAGAACATAGGGTCACTTTTTTTTCTGAAAAGGTAAGCTAACCCTTTATTAAAAAAAAAAGCAAAAAACAAACAAAAAAAAACACCTTACAATCCTAAAACACACCAATGTGATTTACAAATGTGCATTGCACTATTCTTGCTTTGGGCGAAATTTGTGCCAACTATATATACAGCCCAAACTTTTTTAAGCTTTGGATAAAGAAGGGAAATGGCTAACCCCCCCCCTTTTTTTTTTTTTGCAGGCTGTATACTGTTGTTGAGATTTCCCTTCACTTCCTGTTCTGGTGACACCACAGGATGTGAGTTGAAATCACTCTAAAGTAGGAGAAAATCCCTAGGACAGCAAATAAATCCACAAACAGACCAGAGGCGCCAAACACTTGGTAGACTTGTATAAACACAGTTAAGAACCCCACAGTCCCGCGCTGCTAGCAATCCACTGGAGAAATTGGAACCATGAAAAAAACCTGTATGCTGCGCACTAGTGTTGGCAGGGGTGGCAGTAAACATCAATGATAGGAGGAAGTAGTGTATTTAGATTTTGTGCTGCCCTAGGCAACACAAAACTGTTGAGCCCCCCCTCTCCCCAGTGAGAGAGCGAGAGAGTTCAATAAGTGTGTGTATATATGATTCTCTCTCTCCCCCCCTCTCTCTCCCTCTTTCTTTCTCTCTCTCTTCCTTCCTATGTGCAGTCCCATACAATCTGTCAGTGATCAGTGTCACTGTAATGTACTGGATGGATGACAGGAGGGAAAGCCCACAGAAGGCAACACATCTCACCTCCTCCGGGCTCTTTCATCTCCACCACTTCTCCTCTCCCTGCTCCATTCTGTTCCCTGGTCCTGGCTAGTCAGCTGCTGGAGGGAGAGGTACACGATCGTCGCTCTGCAACTGCCCTCCCCCACACCCCACAAGATCGATCTTCCTGCTGTCTGACGCTGCTCAAAAGGTCCCTTCTTCTGGGGGGCGGTGCCGCCTCCCTAAAAATTGCTGCCCTAGGCAAACGCCTTGTTTGCCTCATGGTAGATACACCCTGATGGGAGGTAAATGGAATCTCACTTCCAAAATGTCCACAGATAAATGTCATTTATTCAGCAACCATAGTAAGAAGTAATTGGTTAAAACAAGGTCACATCCAGAACTGTGTACACCCAAATTAGCCCAGCAACTTGTATTGGAGATGGACATCAGGGAACACATACCAGCCTTAGGAAAAACAAAGGCAGTGAAACCATCGATATGCTCTACAGATGTAAAGACTATGGGATTGGAGCCGGTCTTTACATCTGTGGAATATTGGTGGCATTTATCTATGGACATTTTGGAAGGGACCACAATAGCCTACACTAGTGTGCAGCTTAAAGGTTTGTTCTAATCTGTAGGATAGGTATCTCTATTGGAAGATTTTTCCCTCATCTCCGCTTCAAGTGAAAACTGTATACAGTTTCAAGAAAAAGTATGTGAACCCCTTGGGATTACGTGGAGTTTTGCATGAATTGGGCATAAAATGTGCTCTGAACGTCATCTAAGTCACAACAATAAAAAACACAGTCTGCTGAACATAATACTACACAAACATTAGATGTTGCCATGGTTTAATTGCACATAACATGTAAACATTCACAGTGCAGGGAGGAAAAAGTATGTGAACCTTTGGGCTTAATAACTGGTTGACCCTCCTTTGGCAGCAATAACCTCAACCAAACGTTTCCTGTAGTTGCAGATCAGACCTGCATAACGATCTGGAGTCATTTTGGACCACTCCTCTTCACAAAACTGTTTCAGTGTAGCAATATTCTTGGGATGTCTGGTGTGAATCGCTCTCTTAAGGTCATGCCACAGCATTTCAATCGGGTTGAGGTCAGGACTCTGACTGGGCCACTCCAGAAGGCGTATTCTGTGCTGTTGCAGCCATTGTTTTGTTGAATTACTTGTATGCTTTGGGTCATTGTCCTGTTGCATCACCCATCCTCTGCGGAGCTTCAGTTGGCGGACAGATGGTCGTACGTTTTCCTGCAAAATGTCTTGATAAACTCTGGAATTCATTTTCCCATCAATGACAACAATCCGTCCAGGCCCTGAGGCAGCAAAGCAGCCCCAAACCATGATGCTCCCTCCGCCATGTTTTACAGTGGGGATGAGGTTTTGATGTTGGTGTGCTGTGCCTTTTTTTCTCCACACATAGTGTTGTGTGTTCTTCCCAAACAACTCAATCTTGGTTTCATCTGTCCACAGTATATTTTGCCAGTAGTGCTGTGGAACATCCAGGTGCTCTTTTGCAAACTTCAAACCTGCTGCAATATTCTTTTTGGACAGCAATGGCTTCCTCCGTGGTGTCCTCCCATGTACTCCATTCTTGTTTAATGTTTTCCTTATTGTAGATGTGTCAACAAAAATGTTAGCATGTGCCAGAGATTTCTGTAGGTCTTTAGCTGGCACTCTGGGATTCTTCTTTACCTCATGCAGCATTCTGCACTGTGCTCTTGCAGTCATTTTTTACAGGACGACCACGCCTAGGGAGAGTAGCAACAGTGCTAAACTTTCTCCAATTGTAGACAGTCTGTCTTACCGTGGACACATGAACATCAAGGCTTTTGGAGATACTTTTGTAACCCTTTCCAGCTTCATGCAAGTCAACAAATCTTGATCGTAGGTCTTCTGAGAGCTCTTTTCTGCGAGGCATGGTTCACATCAGACAGTGCTTCTTGAAACCAGTAAACCCAAAACAGGTGTGTGTTTTTTAAGGGCAGGACAGCTGTCAGCAACACATCCAATATCATCACACTGATTGGAGTCAAGGTTGGCTCACTCTTGGCTCCAATTAGCTCTGGGAGAAGTCATTAAGCTAGAGCCTCACATACTTTTTCCTCCCTGCACTGTGAATGTTTACATGTTATGTGCAATTAAACCATGGCAACATCTAATGTTTGTGTAGTATTATGTTCAGCAGACTGTGTTCTTCTACTGTGACTTAGATGACGTTCAGAGCACATTTTATGCCCAATTCATGCAAAACTCCACGTAATCCCAAGGGGTTCACATACTTTTTCTTGCAACTGTAGTTTTGGATTTCCCATCATTGTAATCCAGTGACAGTGGTCACCAGGACAAACAAAAAAAGTTTCAGCTTCAGATACATTTTAATTAGGCACAGAGTGTGCAATAACGCCACAATTTGATATTGAGTGTCAAAATGCGATTGTTCAGCTGTTGCTACCTAAAGAACAAGTGTTGAAATAGTGAAAAACCAAAGCTGTTCATGACTCCCTTCCCTTCATTCTGCCTCGTGCTCTTATATAGCTGCTGAAATATTAAAAACAATGTCCTTCATCTGGACTCACCGTATTGTACCAGCGAGCAGAGGGTTGAAGGCGTAAAGCCAGTCGTTCATATCTTTATCGTTGATAGCTTGCAGAAGGATCCCACGGTGCTTAGTGACCACAGCAAATATATTCGGACTCTGTTAAATAAGACAAAACATATACAATAAACATAAGCGAATATACATTCATTGAAGAAAGGTACAACACATAGAACTGAGAAGACAATACCAACATCTAAACAGACCTTAACCATAGCCTGCTGGTCCTCGCTGTACTCAACCTGGGCGGTGGACAGGTTAATAAGGCCTCTTTCCACAGGATCCTTATCGCTGTTGTAGATGAAGACGTATGGGCGGCGTACGACTACGTAGTGCTTGGCCCATGAATGGGAATGAGGCTCCTTGAAGTTCAGGTAACCCTTTTTGGAGACCACCGAACTGTGGAGGAAAAGGATGTAATGAAAAATTTTGACTTTTTTTATCACAC